GCCCCCAACGGCCAAAAGGGGTTTGCAGGGGAAGGGTGGAGGGGCAAGGAACCGGGGGGGACCCGAATGCCCCGCCGGAAAAAGGCGTGGCTTAAAGGCTTTCCCTTTGTGATCGGTTTTCCCCACGCAAGACGGTGCGCCAAGCGCCGGAGTGTGCTGTTTTATTTCAGGAGGACCTACCTTGCTCACGTGTGCTCTCGGGGCTCCATCTACGAGCCTTGCCCTAGCCTCCCCGCCCTTGCCGGCCTACCCCTCCCCCTCGAGCTAGCCCCCCGCCCAACCGCCGGCTCACTCCACGCCTTACCCCCACCATTTCCAAGTAGCCCCTTGGGACCAAGCGACCGAAAACCGAACGGCCCACTTGGGCCCACCTCCCCCCCTTTTGATAATCCCCCTTGACCTGATTTCGTCCCCCTTGTGCCCGTTGTTTTGTGGCCCCTCTCGTTCCCTTGAGGCAAGCACTCAAAGGCCGCCCCACGGGCACTTTTCTCGAGATCTTAAGCCGCCCTCCTCCCCGCCCTACCCATCCCACCCTCGGGCCGTTTTTTTGTCCATAATTACGCCCCTCCACCCACAGTCTTTCGCGAATCCCCCCCCCCCCCGTGTCCCCGGTGCCGACCGGAAACGCGCCCCGGTGTCCCCCCCCCCTGGTCCCCTCCTCAAGGTGAAATCCTCCGACGTTGTAGTTGCCAATGTGTTTCATCATAACCGCCCAATGTTGCGTGGTCCGTGTGTGGTGGTGGGTCCCCGCCTTTTTTGTTTGCTGCTTCGTGGGGCGTGTGCGTGGGGTGCGGCGCCCTAATCATCCAGCCCTTGCAAAGCGTGGTTTGTGTGCGCGTGCCTTTTTTTTCCTCTCTAACTAAGACAGTAACGTCCCAATTGCATTCACCCTCAGACCCAGTCGACCCCACCCCCGAGTCCCGGGCGTCAGTCCCCGTGCAGGCCCGCCCCCTCATGTGCGCCCCCGTGTCCCCTCGAGGTGGGGCTCTGGCGGCTGCTGTAACTCGGAAAGCCCGGAACGCAAGACCGCCCGCGAATTTTCCCCTGACCTGAACGGAACTTTTTCTGCGTGGAACGCCTTTTCTTTCGCTCGCCCCGGTGTTTGGACCCTCTTTTGAAACTCTTTTGGCTGCTTGCCCCCCAGAACGAAATGAAATAGCCTTCGTTGGTCCCAACACAGCGACTGTCAGAAGAAATCTCTCTCTCTCTCATGCCCTTCGATCTGGATTGGCCACCAAACTGGACTAGAGAGTAGTAGTAGCGGGCGGGAAGCGTTAGCATATTATTTTTTAGAGTAGCGGGGCAGTTTGGATTAAAGAGTTAGCGGGCGGAGTAGCGAGTAGGAGTAGAGTAGCGGGCGAGTTCGCTCGGATTAGTTAGCGGCCCTAGACGGGGCGGGATAGAGAGTAGAGGGCTCCTAGATTTTAGAGTCAGCGGCGGTAGCGGTTAGAGTAGAGGCAGAAAGTTAGAGAGTAGCGGTGAAAAGTTCTGAGATAGAGAGTAGCAGGGGGCGGCCTTTTTTATAGAGTAGCCGGAGGCGCTCAGTAGTTTTGAGTTAGTTAGCCTAGAAGTTAGCCGCGGTAAGAGTAGTTAGTATAGCCCCCCACCCCCCCCCCTCAAGTACGCGTATTAGAGTGAGGTTAGTAGCCCCGCTTAAGCAGGCCGGTAAGTAGTTATTTTAGAGTTTAGCGGAGGGAGTAGCCCGTGCGGCTCAGCGGCTCTTCCTATCTTTCTGCCACATTGTGATGTTGAGTTGTATTGAACCCTACAGAATTCATCGAATGTTTTTTATTTCTTTTTCATTTATTTAATTTTATTTAGCTTATTTTTTATTTAATTTTTGACCTTCTTCTGTCTTCGTTAAGCGAATGGTTAGCGTAGTAGCATTTAGCGACTCAAAAGCCAGGTTCTCTATCTAACGCACGTGCGTTTGGCTCCGCAGGCAGGTTGCATGACCGTGACGATGGTCTGGCGGCAGCGTGGCGGGGGCAGAGCAGTCATGGCATCGATTCGAGGAGGTTTGAGTTCGCGTGCGTTGTGACACGCGCCCCTCCGGCGCGTGGAGGGAGGGGCCGCGGGCCCACCGCAGGCCTGCAGGGCTGGCGGCGACCAAGAGCCCATTGCAGGGCGGCAGGCCGGGGACACACCGGCCTGCCACCGCCGCCGCCTGGTCCAACCCGCAGATCTCCGGCCACAATCCCCGGCGGGGCCTTGAGCGCCGCAGATTCCACACCACCACGTCACCGACCGCGTGTTCGAGGTGGACGTCGCCCGCGGCCAGTCTGCCTCAAGACGTCGGGTGAGGGCTCGCCTCTCACCCCCTCTCGACGCCGCCAGCCAGCCAGAGCATGACCCCAGAGCCATTCCGGAATCGGGGGTGAGTTTCTGCCCGCACGTGCCTTTGGCGGGGGGGGCACTCGGCCGGCTGGTGCATGGGGGGATGCCGGGGTCTGATGAGGAGGTCAACTAGTTTTAGAGTGGAGTTGTGTTGGCTGTTCTCACCTTCCCTTTTGGTCAGCGCCTTCCGGGTGCGGCGGGGGGGGGGGGGGGAGGGGGGAGGGGGGGGGGGGGGGGAAAAACGAAGGAAAGTGTGGGCGGGATGAGGCAGTACGTCCGTCGGGTCAAAATCGATGAGTGTCCTGATGACGGTGCGTTTTGACAAAGGCAGGAAAGGTTTTCCGAGCCGGAAGCCATCTGGGGCCCACCACCATGCGTGGCCAGGCCAGACCGCGGGTTTCTCGCCAGGGAGCTGTCTGCCGCGTCGGCCCGCGCCGCCCGCCTTCACGCCGGGCCGAGGCACGCCCTGCTGCGCCCGGCTACATCTGACCTGCCCCCAGTGCGCGTCCCTCGCCAAATCACCCGCCCTCTGCAGGACAGCCCGCGGGCACGCGCTTGCCCCCCCGACGACGAGCTGCTCCTGTCTACTACGACCCGCCCCCGCCGCCGGACCGACGCCGTCGCGCGTCGCAGCCCGGCCTCAAGATCCACGCCCGCCCAAGAGTCGACGTCCGCGCGCCAAGAGCCGACGGCGAACGAAGAGACAGAGAGGCCAAGGGTAAGGACGCCGCCGCGCTGCCGCCAAGGGACAAGGCGGAACGTGCGGTAGCGGGTTTAATTAAGATAAGAAGGACGCGGCCCGGCGGGCGGTGGGCCGCCGTCGTGCGCTGCGGCCCATGTGCTGGAGGACCACAAGGGACCGAGACGGAGAACCGCCACGCAAATTGTACGACTCGGCCCGCCACCTCGCCCGACACCAGGACCGCTACGAGTCGGTCGGCGCACGACCCGACCGCTGGCCCCACGCGAGGAGACGTCCCGCCACGAGACGGTTGATGGCAGCGCCGCCCGCCCGGAGTGGGTCCCTCGGGCTACGAGGACGGTGATTGTTTGGTGATGGGGCTGGCCCAGGGCCCCAGGCCAGCGCGACACGGAGAGCAGCGACGCGACACGACACGCTCTGCGAGGCGAGGACCAAGTCGCTCACTCGGAGCGGCAGGCGTTTCGTGGTAGTTCGTGTCGATGCGGAGAAGCGAAGCTGGATAACGACCGACATGAGAAAGGATCTCGGTATCAATACTGCAGGACGGAACACGGCCGTCCAGGTGTCCACCATGATGAACAGATCGCGCCACAGTCAAGTAACAGCCCTTCGGTGTCGCCGCGAGGAGGGAGGAACAAAAAGGGAACGCTCCGCACAGCCGAGAAAGCGGCCGGCCGGCGCCGGGAAGTCGCTCCTCACGCCACCCGAGCCGCTCATGCGACGGACCTGCTCGAAAGGGGTTCGGAGGAGTCTTCCAGAACCAACACGCCGCGCCCCCACGGACATCAGCCCGGTCTTCATGTTCCCCCCGACACTGACGCGGGGCCCCGCCCCGCGCGCCAAAATCCCCCGCCCGGAGGAGGAACTCTCGCAAAAACAGCCCGCGAATTCCTGTGCCTCTCTGGGCCCCGCACCGCCAACAAGGCGCGAAGATGAGACCGGACAACAGCCACAACCGTGCCCTCAGGACGGCAGGGTCCACGCTACTCGGAGGCGGATGCGCGCGGAGGCGGCGCGCGCAGTGATCTCCGTGTGCGCTGGCGGAGAAGGAGAGGAAGGTGACGCCCCGGTCCCCGGGCAACGCGGAGGACCTCGGAGCACGCGGAGCGGCGCTGTCCGAGCCCCGGTGGGGCGGGGGGGGGATCCGCGGCGCCTCGCGCGATGTTTTCCAGCCTCCGTCAGCCAGGAGACCACTCGAGGACCCGCGGGACCTCACGCCGGCCTGCGCAGACGCACAGGAAGCAGGGCCGTCGTCGAACGTACGTCCACGGACGCCGAGCGAGACGCCAGCTAACCTGCGGTCCAACGGCGCCGCACGCGGCCAATGCCGACCCTCCCCCCGGCACGCCCGCCGCAGCCCGAGAATGTTCTGACAGACCAGGAACCGCCAAGGTAAAATATGATGAAAAGGGGCTTGGCCTCTCCTCCGACCCTCTTGCCCCTCAGGGGGGGAAGGGGGCCGGAAGGCGCTTGATCTGAAAGAGTAGAACTCATAGTAAGTTTCAGTAACAGTCATCAGAATTACAGTTTCGTCAGATTTAAATTGGACGCAATGAATCAGAGTATAGGTGTATTTGGTATGTCCGCATTGTATGTTAGTTTGTACGTCCTTGGTGGTTTTTTCACAAGTTTTATTTAATAGGGAATTTGAGGACAATAATAGTGATCCATTTCAAACCATAAAACCAAAAAAGAAACTTTTCCTTGTTTAAACGTATAAATCTGTCGTCACTGTCATAAACTACTGCGTTTAAGTGCCAGTTTTTAATTTTAAGAGAGTGATGGGGATTATTCATGGGATGGTTGTGGCATAGGGAGAAGATTAATAACGGGAAGCCGACGAGTTGTGAATACGGTAATGATAAGAGGCAAGGGGCCATGGGTTTTGCCGTAATTAATGGCAGCGATAAGACTGCCTTACACGACCCTGAGTTCACAAGATGAGACCGTACTTACCCCATCCCCCTCCCCTCCCCCCCCCCCTCCTCCCTTCCACTACCCCCCCCCCGCAGCACATCAAGCAAGCAGCAAGAAGCAACGCCAGCAGAAAGCAGTAGCCAGACAGCAGCAGCAGCCAGAGCCCCCCACCCCCGGCAGCAAAGGAGTCCGCAAAGCGCCACCATGCAGAAGGGCAGACTCAGAGACAGCAGAATAAGAAAGCACACAAGCAGATCAGCTAAGCAGCAAGCAAGCCCGCAAGACAAGCAGACGCCCCCCCCCCCCACCCCCCACAACCCCGCCCGTCGCCGCAAGCAAAGAACCGCCAGCACAAAGCCAAGCCAAGCAGAGCAGCAGACCCAGCGTGAGTGTCTGTCGTTGTCCGAATGATCGAGGCTTGGTGGGCGGGCTTCGACCCGGGGCCGCCGGCTGCCAGGCCGGCGCCCTCCTTCGACGGCGGCCCTCCCCCCGAGGTCGCGGCCGCCGACCCCGACAGGCCGAATCCCGACCCCCCCCCCCGAGGCCCCGCGAGGGCGTCTGACCTTCTTACCTCCGGACGCCCAGCACGACGGGAGAGGAAAGTTTTTTCGAAGAGTCGAGTTTGGCGGCGATTCGGAGAGCTCCCCCCCCCAGCAAGCCGCGGCACCCCCGCCTCCCGCCGAGCCGCCGTCCGCCCGCCAGGGGACCCGTCCGTCTGCCCCACCCCCGCCCAGG